CTGTCTTTTGTATCTTTATTGCTTTTTAAAAATATTTAAATGTATTAAGATAAATCTTCCTCTAGCTATTTTTTTTCACATTTTTCTTCTCTGACTGAGATGTTTGTTCTGTCATTTCAATATTTACATTATTTTATTCAGTTTTAATTGAATTTCACATTACAAGTCCACCACACTTATATAATAATTTCAGATGAATTAAATATTTTAAATTACAATGTTTTTCTTCTAGTTGGGGGTACTTTATATATCTCCATTTATTTAAATTTGATTTTATTTATTCCCATAAGATTTTATAGCTTCTTCCATATACCTACCATACCTTTCAGATGTTTATAAATACATGCATGTGAGTTTCCTATTGTGCTTGAGATATTTTTTCCATTTATGTTGTTTCAAATGAAAACTATAAGTTTTATATAACTATTTTTATTCATACTGCTTGGCAACTAATTTTTCTAGTTCTTATGGATTTTATTAGGTATCTAGGGTTTTTATGTGTATAATCATATAACATAATATTATATACTATTTATCATTTCTAATAATTATTTCATTTTTATATCCTATTGCATTAGCTAAAGTGACATATATATGTATATATATATGAAACTTTAGCTATATATATAAAAATAATGCTGGTAATGGTAGACATTCCTGTATTTTTTCTATTTCAATAACTTTATCTTTTTAATGTTTGTTATAACATTTTCCAGTTTTAGTGACTGTATATTATGTTATTTTTTATTTTATATAAATTTTTATAAGATTAGCTATTAGGATGTATTAAATTGTCTTTTAAAATCACTTGTGGATGTAAAATTCTAGAGAGATTTCCTAATGTTGAACCATTTTTGCTTTATTCATTCTCACTACTTTTCTCTTTTTTATGTTTTTAAATAATCTCTAGCTGCAAGTTTTATTTTGTCTTTGACATGACAGAATGAGCTCTGTTTTGTATTCTAAAATCTCTAAGTAACTTACTTTCTTTAACATGCAGTGTCCTTATCTTCAACTGATATAACTTAGTAAGACTTATTTTGTGGTGAAGATTATGCTCAATATTGTTATGTATTTCAAAGATATTGAGAAAAAAATGTGTTCTCTGTTTTTAAGTCACAAGATTAAATACTAAATCATTTTAAATTACCCAGATCCTATATATTTTGCATACATAAAGAGTCAAAAACTAGAGGTGAATTGTTTTTAAATATTCACAAAATATTTATCTCATTACTTGTTTATTGAATTTTGATTTGGCATTCATGGGAACATGCGTACTTTGTTTATTGTTTGTAGTTGCATTCCTTAACTTTGTGTTACTGTGTCTTAGTTGTGTTTTCAGTTGGATTTTATGCCTTTCAATATAATCATTTTTTCATATATTTAGTGTTATAACTAATCATTTATAACTTTTAAAAATTTTATCTTTTATAACTCGTTGTTTTTTTTTCTTTTATCACTTGAAAAATGCAAACTTTTATGTGCTTTTTATTT